ATGGTGGCCTACGGGCAAGCAGCTGGGGGCCGCTCCTGGGCCAGCGCCGCGGCGGGCGGCAAGGCCAAGGGCAGCTGGAGTTACTGGTCTGCTCCAGCGGCGTGTGCAGGGAGTGGAACTGGTGCTCGCTCTGGAAGTGCCGCGGCTGCGACCGCGTGGCCCCGCCGTGGGTCAAGGCAGCCCGGCCGCCCGCGGCTGCTGCCGGCCAGGAGCCGCCCGTCGCCGACGCCGAGGGCTTCGTCGCCCAGCCCCGTGGGAGGAAGGCGAGGCGCCAGGCCAAGCGCACGGCTGCCCGCGCGGCAAGCGCTGGAGCCGCCAGCCAGGAAGGAGTCAGCGAGGCCAGCAGCGGGCAGCAGTCGGCCGTCGAGCAGCACCGCCTGGAGGCCAAGCGCATCGAGGACTTCCTCGCGGCCCCTGGCGGGTCCATCGACGAGGGATGTCTGCAGTCGCTGCGCGCGGCCCTCGACCGAGAGCGGCGCAGGCTCTCGGCTGCCGAGGCGGCGCAGGCGGAGCGCAGGAAGGCCGACACCCCCCTGCCCAAGGCGACGGGGCTGGCAACGCCCTGGGGAAGTTGGTGAGGCAGGGGCGGGCCAAGGAGCAGGCGCTGCTCAAAGCCGAGGAGGCCCACGCGGCAGCCATCGGAGAGCGTGAGGCGGCCATCGCGCGCTAGGCCGCATGTGCAGAGGCGGTCGAGGAGTGCCGCGCTGCTCTCGAGGCGCACCGCGAGGAGCAGTTGGCCGCAGAGGCCAGACAGGCCAAGGAGGTCGGCGCGGCCTTCGTCGGCACGGACCTGCTCGGGATGGTCCGCGGCCTCATCCAGCAGGTCGAGGCCTTGCCCCAGGGCTTCGCCGCGGGCAATGGGGAGGCCGCCTTCGCCGAGGTCGCCAAGCAGATTGCTGCGGCCCGCAGGCATGCACCCCCCGATGCTAGGGGGCGCTCATCCTGGGCCGACACCCCCCTCGACGTCTCGGACGAGGACCTCGACGGAGATGAGGAGGAGCGGGTGCGGGCGTCTTCAGCCCCCCCTCTGCAGGACGCGGCCGAGCGCGGCCAAGCAGCACGCCGAGGAGAGGCGCGCGGAGCGTGGCCCTCAGCCCAGCCGTTGGCTAGGGACCTGGCCAACGCTGGGGCAGCCCTCCTCGACGACCAGCCGCTGGCTACTGCTGCTGGTGGCCATGTTGCTGTGGGTCGGCGTCGGGTTTGACGTCGACTCGGCAGGCCAGTGGTCGGTTGACAGCAGAAGGGTCAGACGGCGCCTGAGCGAGCAGGTGCCAGTGGTGTGGGGAGCCCAATGCCGTCCCCAGGGCCTGGGCGAACCCGCGAGTGCGGCACCTGGCCGAGGGGGGGCGATGAGGGCCGCCGACGGGCGGGCGGCCGTTGCCCCTCACCCCCCCGCGCGCCCCGTCGAGGCCGCTGACGAGCGGGTGGCCGAGTCCCTTGACGGGCGCAGCGAAGCCAAGGTGCCAAGTGACAAGAGGACGAGGATGACGGCGCAGGAGGCCTGCATTGGCAAGGCTCGCCTCGGGCCACAGCCAGACCCTGAGTCTGACCCTCGAGGACCTTGCCCCCCTGCGTGCTGGCCTGGAGGTCCTGGGCTGCAACGGTAACGTCTGGAACAGGGGCGTCGAGGTCCTCGAGGCCTTCTTCCGCGCCCACCAGTACTGGCCGCAGCTGGTCCTCCTTCAGGAGACGCGGCTAACCCAGGAACGGCTCCCTGGGGCCAGGGCGCTTGCTCGCCGCCTCGGCTACGCCGCTTTCTTCCATGAGGCGGTGGCGACGGGCCAGCCTGGCCCGAACGCCACGTCGGGCGGCGTCGCGATCCTGGTGAGGGCTGGATTCCAGGCCGAGGAGTCAGCGTGCCAGCTCCCTGCGGCCCTGCGCCACCGCCTCATCGGCGTCGAGGTGACGGCTCCGTCGGGCCTCTGTCTCCTGGCCTTGGCTCGGTACTTCCAGCACTCCTTGGGCCCGCGGGGGATCAACCTCGACCTCTTCTCCTCGGTCTCGGACCTCGTGGCATCCCCGCTCGATTTGCCCTGGGTCCTCCAGGCGGATTCCAACATGGAGCCCGAGCCCCTGCAGGAGCTGGGCTGGCCTGCAGCGGTTCGCGGTCAGGTGCTCGGGCCCTCTGAAGCGACCTGCGTTGCCCAGGGCCTGGAGCACGTCTACGACTGGTTCGTCGCCTCGTCCGACCTGGCCACGTGCACGGTGTCCTGCGCGAACACGCTCAACGACTTCGGGCTGCACCCGCACTCTCCAGTGCTGCTGCGCCTCCAGGACGTCAGGTGCGATGCCCTGGTCGAGGTGCCCTCCCGTCCTGCTCGGCTCCCAGAGGTGGAGGTCAAGGGCGTGTGCTCCCGCGAGGACGCCGTGGCCCAGGCCTTCACTGTCGGCAAGCGCGGGAAGGTGTCGCAGCAGGATGTAGCTTGGTCGTGGGCTCAAGGTTCGTGCCCGACCAGCCTCTCGGCTGCTTTCGGCGAGTGGATCGAGGCGGCGGAGGGTACCCTCACGGGCATCCACGAGATTGCGCCAGGCGGCCTGACACGCTACCTTGGGCGAGCGGCAGGGCCTAAGACCAGGCGCATGCCCTTCAGCGCGCTGGTGCAGCGTGAGGCCAGGCTGAAGTACAGCATGCTGACCCACCGCCTGAGGAGCTGCCTGGCGGTCGCCCTCCAGAGGCTTCGCGCAGAGCAGGCCAGCAGGTGGCACCCGACCCACTCCTGGTGGTTTGAGCAGCAGGCTGCGGCGAGGGCGAAGCTCCTGGACGAGGCGACCCATGAGGAGGCTGGCCTTCGGAGCGCGCCCCTCCTCGGGGCGTCCGGCGTGAAGTGGGGGGACCTCGCCTTCCACGCGGGGGTGAAGGGCTGCCCCACGGCGATCGCCAAGCTACAGTCGTGGCTCCTGGCGTCCCAGAGGCGCGATGCCGCAGAAGGAGCTGCCGCTTGGCGCAGTTGGGCCCAGACGGCGGCGGAGAAAGGAGGCCGCCTGGCCCACCGCTTCTCCAAGGCGGCTCCCACGCCTGTAGTCAGGGACGCCGACGCAGGGAGGCCCCTCGTCGGCATGGACGCCGTTGACCAGCTCACGCGTACGTGGCAGCGGCTCTGGCTTCAGGAAGGCTTCTCCAGCGGAGTCGGAGCCCACCAGTGGGACGTTGGATCCTGGACGCTGCCGCCCATCACCCTGGAGGCATTGCAGCAGGCATGCAAGCGCTACGGCCCGTCGGTGGGGCTGGGCTGCGACAACCTGCGCCCTCGCCAGCTTCTCCTGCTGCCAGTGGCGCTGCAGCTTCGCCTGATCGACATCGTCACGGCGTTCGAGGACGAGCCTTCCTCGATCAGGGGACAGGTGACGCTCATGGTGTTTATTCCTGAAGCCGACGGGGGGACCAGGCCCATCGCGCTGCTCCCGCTGGCTTTGCGGCTGCGGTCTCGCCTGAGGCAGCCGCGCTGTGCCCGATGGGAGTCTGACCGCAGCTTCCCCTTCTTCTGGGGTCGCGATGGCCGTGATTGCGAAAGAGCGGGCTGGATCCACAACTGCTTCGCGGGCTTCGCGATGGCCTCCCCGCACTTCGGGGTGGCCAGCCTGTTCCTGGACATCCGCAAGTTCTACGAGCACGTGCGCCACGACGTCCTCTGGACGTCAGCCCAGCGCTTCGGCTTCAACCGGAAGCTGCTGCGCGGCCTCCTCGCCATCTACCAGGCCCCGCGGATCGTGCTGGCAGGTGGCGTGGCTTCGGCCCCCTTTGGGGCCAGTGGCACAGTGCTGGCGGGCTGCGCGTGTGCGACGGCTTTTGCGAAGCTTCCCCTTCTTGGGGGCCTCCTCGCTGCTGGGGCTCATCGGCCTCTTGCCACCCTGCGCAATTAGGTGGGCGACGCCTCGCTCCAAGCTGTCGGCCCGGCGAGGCTGGTCGTGGACAAACTCGCGGGGGCCAGCGGGGAGGTGCTGCGACACCTGCGGGCCCACCACCTCCCGCTCAACGAGGGCAAGTCGGTTTTCCTGGCCTCGTCTGCACAGGTTGCGGACGGCCTCGTCGCCAGCTGGGCCGCCCTCGGCTTCGAGGTCAAGCGCGGCCCCCAGGCCCGCAACCTGGGCACCGACGCCAACGTGACCCGCAGAGGAGTCCATGGGGGAGGTGCCCGCGCTGTGGGAGGCCTTTCCCGCGCCAGGCGGCTGAGAACCCTGGGCTCGGCGGGGGCCGCGGTGGTGCACATTCACCGCGCTGGCCCTTCCGCCGCCATGCTGTGGGGCAGGGCGGTCACTGGGGTGCCCGACGGCGAGCTTCACTCCTGGCGCCTGGCGGCTGCGCGCTCGGCAGGGAAGCTCCCCAATGGCGCCTCCCTTGGGCTGAGGCTCAGGGCGATCGAGGTGCAGCGCTCCGCTGACCTGGACCCGAGCCCAGCCCTGGTGCGTGCTGCTGCGCAGGTGGCAGCCAGCCTCCTTCAGACGGGCGAGGTGCCCCTGAGGATGTTCGCGACCTGCCTGGATGAGGCCGAGCGCAGGCACGGCAGCGCCAGGGTGCCCTGGGTGAGCTGCAAGAACCCAGTCGACGCCCTGGCCCTCTCTCTCTTTCCGTTGCGGGTTGGGTGGCGCCTCTCGGCTGGGCACTTCCTCCACACCGATGACGGCCACACCTTGGACATGCTGATCATGGGCCCCCGCGAGCTCGGGCTGCTGGCTGCGGCAGGTGCACGCAGGGCCTCCGACAGAGCTGAGCTGACGCGGCTTGGGCACGGAGCCGCCCCCTCCATGCCCTTGTTCTGGGACGCGCTCGGCCAGGCCATCGGGCCACGCGGCAGGTTTAGCAGCAGGGAGAAGGCCGCGGTGGTGAGCTACGCGTCCAACGCCCACTGGCCCCAGACTCGCCTCTTCGCGGCTGGTGAGCGGGGCCGCCCTCGATGCTGCGCCTGCGGCGAAGTGCGTGGCAACCTCTGGCACAGGCTCTTCGAGTGCCAAGCCCTGGCCGCTGAGAGGAGGGACTCGGCTTCAGCCCGCCTCCTCCGCTGCGCCACTAGAGTGAGGCAGCGAGGTGAGGAAGCGGGGGGGGGGGGGGGGGGGGGGGGGGGGGGGGGCGCTTCTCCAGGTGCTGGCTGCCGCAGCCCCCGCAGACGGCCTGGAGGTCGGACGCTATGGCAGCCATGTGGGTGAACAGGCCTGCCGACGGGCTGCTAGGCGGTCGCCTCTACCTCGACGGCTCGGCGCTCGACCCTGTGTTCGGATGCATCTGCCGGGCAGGCTGGAGTATCGTGCAGTGCTGGCGGGCGGCGCGTGCGCGACGGATGTTGCCAAGCTGCCCCTTCTTGGAGGCCTCCTCGCGGCTGGGGCTCAGCGGCCTCTGGCCACCCAGCGCTACTTTGAGGGCGACGTCTCGCTCCAAGCTGTCGGCTCGGCGAGGCTGGCTGTCGACCAGCTCGTGGGGGCCAGTGGGGAAATGCTGCGACACCTGCGGGATCACCGCCTCCCGATCTGTGAGGGCACGTCCATGTTCCTGGCCTCGTCGGCACAGGTGGCGGACGGCCTTGCCGCCAGCTGGGCAGCCCTTGGCTTCGAGGTCAAGCGCGGGCCCCAGGCCCGCAATCTGGGCACCGACGCCTACGTGACCCGCAGGGGGGTCCATGAGGGAGGCGCCCGCGCTGTGGGAGGCCTCTCCCGCGCCAGGCGGCTGAGAACCCTGGGCTCGGCGGGGGGCCTCGTTGGTGCCCTTGCACAGCGGTGGCCCAACCGCCGCCATGTCTCTGTTGCGGGGTGGTCGGCGCCTCTCGGCTGGGCACATCATGCACACCGACGGCGGCCACGCCTTGGACATGCTGATCTTGGGCCCCCGCGAGCACGGACTGCTGGCTGCGGCGGGGGCTCGCAGGGCCTCCGACAGGGCTGAGATGACGCGGCTTGGGCACGTCGCCGCCCCCGCCATGCATTTGTGTTGGGACGCTCTCGGCCAGGTCTTCGGCCCGCGCGGCATTTTCGGCGGCAGGGGGAATGCGGCCTTGAGGTCGGACGCGATGGCAGTCATGTGGCTCGGCGCTCGACCCTGTGTTCGGATGCATCTGCAGGGCAGGCTGGCATCGTGCAGTGCGACGAGTTCGGCAACTTGGAGGCGGCGGTGCACGGCACGGCCCGCCTCGACCTGTGCCCCTTCCAGACGGCGAATGACGGCGAGGACTTCGCGGTCTGGATGCTGAGCCGCTACCTCGGGCCCTCGATCATCGAGATCAACATCGACTGCGCGTCCACAGTCAGCTGCTTGAAGCTTGGCAGGAAGTATGCGACGGCTGCCAACAAGCCCAATGCACACCTGTGGTCGGCCGTCTACGCCTCGCTGGACGTCGGCTCGCCCATTGTGAACAAGGTTGTGGCCCACTGCGCCGAGACCGATGTTCGCGAGGGCAGGATCTCGGAGTTTCAGTTGCTTGGGAACGGCCATGCCGACAGGTTGGCGAAGGCGGGGGCGGCCCTCCACAGGGTCAGCGCGGCGGCCAGGCGGGAGTTCTTCGGCGCGAGGGAGGTCGTGGGAGAGCTCTCCAGGTGGATCGCGCAGGCCTCGATCGTCTGGCAGGACAGGGGCTCCAAGGACTGCGAGGGCGACGAGCGGAGGACGGCTGTCACCTTCGCAGTCCCGCTGGAGGAGTGTGCTGACGGCCCGCGGGCGGCTCACGCGAACGGATTGGGCGCCCCGCCCGCCGCCGTGGGGGCCCGCGGGGAACAGGCTGGCGGCCGCCCCGCCGCTGTCGGCGCCTGGGCTTCGGCAGCGCGCGACGGAGGAGTAGCGCTGGGCGCCCTGGTCTTCGCCGTCGCGGGGCACGCCCTCGCGTACGCCAGGTGCGGTGAGAACGGCGACCAGAAGGAGATCATTGCATGCACCAGGTGCGGAGCGCATGCGAGGCTCGGCGCACGCCCTGGCCCGCAGCCCAAGCTCAGGGAGCGGAGCGCTGTCCTGGCTCAACGGGCCTCCCCAGGTCGCTGCGGGGCCAGAAGTCGCGGCGGGAGCGTGGCCTCCACCCTGGGGGCACGCCACACGCCCGCGAGACGCGGGGGAAGGGGGCGGAGGCCCCCCGCCTTCGCGAGGAGGTTGAGGTGCCGCTGGACGCCAGGGTGCGCTTCCTGAAGTGGCTCGGAATCCAGCCCGATGCCCCGGCAGGAGTCGAGGGCAGCGCCTCGGCGGCGGACGCTGCTCGGGGCGGCGCTGGCGCTGCGGCCTCCTCCTCGTCAGAGCTGCCCGCTGGGGCTGGCGTCGCCGCGGCAGGAGTGGGATCGCGGCAGGCCTGGCTGGATGCTTACGGCCTCGACGAGGAGAGCCTGCTGAGCTGGGCTGAGGAGGCCGAGGAGGCCCGTCGTGAGCGCCAGAGCAGGAAGAGGCGCAGAGATGACCGTGATGGAGGAGATTGAGTCCGCGCTGGCCCCAGCCTTGGGGCGCTCGGGCCGCGTGAACGCGCGCGGGCCGTGCCTTGAGCGCTCCTGGCTGTGGAGCGCCCGCCAGCCTCTCCTCCTGTCCTCCCTCCGCGTCCGTCTCCTGTCTGCCCGTCCCCTTGGACCCCTTGTGGCCGCGGGCCTCGGCGTGTCGGCGCGATGCTTTCTGCGCCTCGCCTTCCTCGCCGTGCCGCTTGGGGCTGTGCAAGCATGTTTGGGGCGTCGCCCGTCGCGTGCATGCACGTTGTATTTATCCCAGCGCTTCGCGCTGTTGCCCCTCGACGGGGGTATGAGCTGACAGGCCGAGCGGTGCCTCGGGGCCGATGTGCCCTGGAGGCCGCCTTCTGCGGCTCGTCTGGGCTCTCGGGGTCCCTTGTGGCCCGCCCCCTGTCTTGGGATGGCCCTTTGTGGCTCTGGCCCCTCAGTGGGGTCTGAGCCCTCTGGGGTTCTTTTTAGCCTTTATAGGCCCCGCGTCAACAGACGCAGACACAGACACAGACACAGACACAGACACATCCGTAGCCATTTTGGCTCAAGGCCATGGAGCACCCGACGACCGCGAGTCGTCCGCGGCGCTCTGAGCGCGAGGGGCTCCGCGCTTTGGGCCAGATCTCGGGTGCGTTTTCTTCGGGCTTCGGGCCTCTGCAGAGAGGCCGCAGTTTTGGGCCGCGAGGCCAATCGACAGAGCCTGCCTTGCCATGGTGGCGCACGGACAGCCAGCTGGAGGCCGCTCCTGGGCCGGCGTCGTGGCGGGCGGCAAGGCCAAGGGCAGCTGGAGCTACTGGGTCTGCTCCAGCGGGCAGTGCAGGGAGTGGAACTGGTGCTCGCACTGGAAGTGCCGCAGCTGCGGCCGAGTGGCCCCGCCGCGGGTCAAGGCAGCTCAGCCGCCCGCGGCAGCCGATGGCCAGGAGCAGCCCGTCGACGCCGAGGGCTTCGTCGTCCAACCCCGTGGGAGGAAAGCGAGGCGCCAGGCCAAGCGCACTGCTGCCCGTGCGGCCAGCGCGGGGGCCGCCAGTCTGGCAGGCGTCAGCGAGGCTAGCAGCGTGCAGCCGTCGGCCGCCGAGCGGCACCGCCAGGAGGTCAAGCGCATCGAGGACTTCCTCGCGGCCCCTGGCGAGTCCATTGACGAGGCGTGCCTGCAGTCGCTGCGCTCGGCCCTCGACCGCGAGCGTCGCAGGCTCTCGGCAGCAGATGCGGCGCTGGCGGGGCGCAGGCAGGCCGGCCCCCCCTGCCCAAGGCGCTCCACGGCGCTGGCAACGCCCTGGCGAAGCTGGCCAGGCAGGGGCGGGCCAAGGAGCAGGCGCTGCTCAAGGCCGAGGGAGCCCACGCGGCAGCCATCGGCGAGCGTGAGGAAGCCATCGCGCGAGAAGCGGCATGCGCCGAGGCTGTTGAGGAGTGCCGAGCTGCTCTCGAGGCCCACCGTGAGGAGCAGAGGGCCGCAGAGGCCAGGCAAGCCAAGGAGGTCGGCGCGGCCTTCGTCGGCACGGACTTGCTCGGGATGGTCTTCGGCCTCATCCAGCAGGTCGAGGCCTTGCCCCAGGGGTTCGCCGCGGGCAACGGGGAGGCCGCCTTCGCGGAGGCCGCCATGCAGATCGCGGCGGTCCGCAGGCATGCACCCCCCGAGGCTAGGGGTCGCTCTTCCTGGGCCGACACCCCCCTCGACGTCTCCGACGAGGACCTCGACGGGGATGAGGAGGAGCGGGTGCGGGCCTCGTCAGAACCCCCTCTGCAGGACGCTGCCGAGCGCGGGAAAGCTGCGCGGCGAGGAGAGGCGCACGGTGCGTGGCCCTCAGCCCAGCCGCTGGCGAGGGACCTGGCCAACGCTGGCGCAGCCCTCCTTGACGACCAGCCGCTGGCGACGGCTGCTGTTGGCCGTGTTGTTGTGGGCCGCAGTCGGGGTTGACGTCGACTCGGCAGGCCCGTGTTCGGTAGTGGACAGGAGGGTCAGACGGCGCTCGGGTGAACAGGCGCCAGTGGAGCGGGGAGCCCAATGCCTTTCCCTGGGCTTGGGCAAACCTGCGAGTGCGGCACCTGGCCAAAGGGGAGCGGTGAGGGCCGCCGACGGGCGGGTGGCCGATGCCCCTCACCCCCCCGCGCTCCCTGTCGAGGCCGCTGACGAGCGGGTGGCCGAGTCCCTCGACGGGCGCAGCCAAGCCAAGGTGCCAAGTGACCAGCGGACGAGGTCGACGGCGGAGGAGGCCTGCATTGGCAAGGCTTATCTCGGGCCGCAGCCCGCCCCTGAGTCGGGCCCTCGAGATTCTGATGGCCGTGGCTGCGAAAGAGCGGACTGGATCCACCACTGCTTCGCGGGCTTTGCGATGGCCGCCCCGCCCGTCGAGGAGGCCAGCCTGTTCCTAGGCATCTGCAAGTTCGTCGGGCACGTGCGCCACGACGTCCTTTGTTTGTCCGCCCTGCGCTTCGGCTTCAACCTGAAGCTGCTGCGCGGCCTCCCCGCCATCTTCCTGGCCCCGAGGATCGCGCTGGCAGGAGGCATGGCGTCGGCCCCCTCTGGGGCCAGTGGCGCAGTGCTGGCGGGCTGCGCGTGCGCGACGGCTGCTGCTAAGCTACCCCTACTTGGGGGCCTCCTCGCAGCTGGGGATCAGCGGCCTCTTGCCACCCTGCGCAACTTAGAGGGCGACGTCTCGCTCCAAGCTGTCGGCTCGGCGAGGCTGGTGGTCGACCAGCTCGTGGGGGCCAGTGGGGAAATGCTGCGACACCTTCGGGATCACCACCTCCCGCTCAATGAGGGCAAGTCCGTGTTCCTGGCCTCGTCGGCACAGGTGGCGGACGGCCTTGCCGCCAGCTGGGCAGCCCTTGGCTTCGAGGTCAAGCGCGGGCCCCAGGCCCGCAATATGGGCACCGACGCCTACGTGACCAGCAGGGGAGTCCACGAGGGAGGCGCCCGCGCGGTGGGAGGCCGCTCCCGCGCCAGGCGGCTGAGAACCCTGGGCTCGGCGGGGGCCTCGGTGGTGCCCTTGCACCGCGCTGGCCCAACCGCCGCCATGTTTCTGTTGCGGGTTGGTTGGCGCCTCTCGGCTGGGCGCATCTTGCACACCGACGAAGGCCACGCATTGGACATGCTGATCTTGGGCCCCCGCGAGCTCGGACTGCTGGCTGCGGCAGGGGCTCGCAGGGCCTCCGACAGGGCAGAGATGACGCGGCTTCGGCACGGCGCCGCCCCCGCCATGCCCTTGTTCTGGGACGCTCTCGGCCAGGTCATCGGCCCGCGCGGCAAGTCCAGCGGCAGGGAGAAGGCGGCCTGGAGGTCGGACGCGGTGGCAGTCATGTGGGTGAACAGGCCTGCCGACGGGCTGCTAGGCGGTCGCCTCTACCTCGACGGCTCGGCGCTCGACCCTGAGTTCGGATGCATCCGCAGGGCAGGCTGGAGTATCGTGCAGTGCGACGAGTTCGGCAACCTGCAGGCGGCGGTGTACGGCACGGTCCGCCTAGACCTGCGCCCTTCCCAGACGGCCAAGGACGGCGAGCACTTCGCGGTCTGGCTGCTGAGCCGCTACCCCGGGCCTTCGTTCATCGGAATCAACAGTGACTGCGCGGCCACAGTCAGCTGCTTGCAGCCCGGCAGGAGGTATGCGTCGGCGGCCAACAAGCCCAACGCTCACCTGTGGTCGGTCGTCTACGCCTCGCTAGACGTCGACTCGCTCTTCGTGAACAAAGTTGAGGCCCACTGCGCCGAGATCGTCTTTCGTGGGGGCAGGATCTCGGAGGGTCAGTGGCTTGGGAGCGCCTACGCCGACAGGCTGGCGAAGGCGGGAGCGGCCCTCCACAGGGCCAGCGCGGCTGCCAGGCGCGAGTTCTTCGGCACGAAAGAGGTCGTGCGTGGGCTCTCCAGGAGGATCGCGCAGGTTTCGATCGTCTGGCAGGGCAGGGCCTCCAAGGGCTGCGAGAGCCTCCCCGTGTGCGACGAGCGAAGGACGGCTGTCACCTTCGCGGTCCCGCTGAAGGAGCGTGCTGGCGGTCTGCGGGCGGCTCCCGTGTGCGAGTCGGACGCCGCGCCCGCCGCCGTTGAGGCCCGCGGGGGGCTGGCAGGCAGCCGCCCCGCCGCCGCTGGCGCCTGGGCCTCGGCTGCACGCGACGGCGGAGTCGCGCTGGGCGCCCTGGCCTTCGCCGTCGCTGGCCGCGCCCTCGCGTTCGCCAGGTGCGGTGAGGACGGCGACGAGCAGGTGATCATCGCGTGCACCAGGTGCGGAGCATATGCGAGGCTAGGCGGACGCCCTGGCCCGCAGCCCAAGCTCAGGGAGCGCTGTCCTGGGGCAACAGGCCTCCCCAGGTCGCTGCGTGGCCAGAAGTCGCCGTGGGAGCGTGGCCTACACCCTGGAGGCACGCCGCACGCCCGCGACACGCGGAGGAAGGGGGCGGAGGCCCCTCGTCTTCGCAAGGAGGCTGAGGTGCCGCAGGGCGCCAGAGAGCGCTTCCTGAAGTGGCTTGGTGTTCAGCCTGGCGCACCAGCAGGCGTCGCGAGCAGCGCCTCGGCGGCCGACGCTGCTGTGAGCGGCGCAGGTTGCGCTACCTCCTCGTCGGCTGCGGTGCCCGCTGCGGCTGGAGGCTCCGCGGCGGGAGAGGGCTCGCGGAAGGCCTGGCTGGATGCTCACGGCCTCGACGAGGAGAGCCTGCTGAGCTGGTCACAGGAGGCCGAGGAGGCCCGACTCGAGCGCCAGAGCAGGAAGCGACGCAGAGATGACGGAGATGGAGGTGATTGAGTCCGCGCTGGCCCCAGCCTTGGGGGGCTCGATGCGCGCGATCTCGCGTGCGACGAGCCTTGGACGCTCCTGGCTGTGGGGCGCCAGCCTGCCCCTCCTCCTGTCCTCCCCTCTGCGTCCGTCTCCCGTCCTCCTGTCCTCTTTGGACCCCTGGTGGCCGCGGGCCTCTGCGCGTGGGCGTGAAGCTTCCTGCGCCTCGCCCGCCTCGCCGCGCCGCTCGGGGTTGTGCAGGCATGTTTGGGGCGTCGCCCGTCGCGTGCATGCGCGTTGTATTTATCCCAGCGCTTCGCGCTGATGCCCCTCGACGGGGGTCTGAGCTGACTGGCCAAGCGGTGCCTCGGTGCCGATGTGCCCTGGTGGCTGCCTTCTTCGGCTCGCTTGGGCTCTCGGGATCCCTTGTGGCCCGCCCCCTGTCTTGGGATGGCCCCTTGGGGCTCTGGCCCCTCAGTGGGGCCTGGGTCCTTTGTGTGTGTGTGTGTGTGTGTGTGTGTGTGTGTGTGTGTGTGTGTGTGTGTGTGTGTGTGTGTGTGTGTGTGTGTGTGTTTGTGTGTGTTTTTTTATAAAAAAACCTTTATAGGCCCCGCGTCAACAGACACAGACACATACACATACACACACACGATAGTGAAGAGAAATCCTAATACTCAATCTTGCCACCGAGGTCCGTCGCCTGCCCTCAACAACAACGATAGTAGGAAGGATATGGATGATTCATGCCTGTCCCGCCCGAGCGCGCACTTCTTTCAGCACGGTCTGCTGCCGCGGCAGCTCGGGGGGCCTGTGCCCCTAAACCAGGCCTGAACACAAACAGCGACAGACACGCGCACATGTGCAGAGAGAGCTGGCAAATTAATGCGGGACATACAGCAGACACTCTGTGTGTTCACACGTGAACGCATGCGTCGACACCATCTGGCCACAGATGGTGCCACCCAAAGCCCTAGAGTCTGAACCCCTTACGGCCCGAGACTTCCCCAAGAGCACAACTACGCTAAGGAAACAGGGTATGCATCCGAGACTAGTACTGGGAAGGCTTAATTCTGAAAAGACTACGCGCACACACAGACCCACCACTTCACAGGGAGGTTCAGGCGAAGAGCCTTTGGCTCCACGGGATCACAAGTTGGCGGGTTCGCGCGGGTGAGTTGCGCGGGCACGACACACGTCGATATTATCTGTGCAGAGGCCCCATCCATCGTACAGGATAAAGTAGACATGGGTAGCCAAGCATACGGGGGAAGGGTGAGAGAGCAAACGGGGGAAGCACGTCGCTCAATAGATCACCCTCCCCAAGGGGGGCCTGAAGTACAGAGGTGGTTGCCTGGGAGAGGACCCAACTGAGGCCAAAGCTGGACATCACAGTACAGGTAATGGAGGTAAGGTTCTGAGAGATCTCTGAGGGAACATCCTCAAACGTCGTGGAAGCACTGAGACCAAACTTATGCATGATAAGGCACGCCTCCAGAAAGGCGAAGATCACCAGTAACTTCATGGCAGGAGAGAAATCGGTCCAGAAACTCCTAGAAGTGAGCTGGGTCCTCTTCTTGTGGTGTTCATGAGGATCAGGCTGGCGTGTGGGAGGGTCTGCTCAGGGTGGGGTATCCTGAACTGCAGTCTCACTCCACTCGCCGTCACTGTCGAGGTACTGGAAGATCTTGTTACCAATCGTCGTATAGGATCTCACATCAAGGACCCAGGTCTCCGCTTCAGAGTCGAAGCTGCGTAGCTTGGACTGCCATTGGCTCACAGACGTGAGCTTACATACATGTGACCACCACTCCTTCCACGGAAGCGGAAGGTTCTCAGCCAGGGACTTCACTTCTTTACGGTCTAAGTTGATGCCCAGGATATTGAGAGCGGCCTCGGTCGTCTCCTGGCCCATCGTGGTCTCGAAGAGAGGTGGAGGAGCCTGGGGCAAGGCGGGGCCCTTATCTCTGTCCTGCCCTGTTGCCCGCCTGGCTGGAAGGGGGCCTTCTGTGGACTTGAACATGTTTATCAACTCACGCACGTCCGACCCAGTCTGGGCAGTAGTGTGCTGAATGGACTGGATGGCCTCCTTCTGCTTCGATTGCTCGGCGCTGAGGGCATCGAAATCCTGGCGCAGCTTCTTGAAGGCCGGCTGCGACTCAAGATCAAACCCACTTTGCGGGGTCGGTGGTGTCGTCATAGTAGGAGGCGTAGTCGAAGGTGTGGGCGTAGACTGGCTGGACCGTACGAACTCAGACAGCTGGTTCACCGTCTCTGTTAGCCTAGAGTCACCACGCGGCGCTGGAGACTGTGGTGTCATCCCCGTAGGCGGTGGCGACGGTGGCGGCCGAGCGGCCTTGATCACGTGCGTGAGGGCCGCGGCGAGCTCGTGGGTGGAGGCGTTGGCTGGGGCAGGGACACCACCCGCAGCTGGGGTTGGTACTTGCGGGTTGAAACTGTTCTGCGTCTGAGCACATGCCAATGCACTGCCAATCTGAGCCATCTGGCCAAGGCTCGCTAGATTGCCCATCATATCGTTGAACTGGTCTGCCATCGTAGTAACCCCTCCCCCTTGACGAGGCTGATATCCTCGCGGATGGTGCTGCTGGGGACCTTTTCCGTGGTATGGACTCCTCCCTCCCTGTGGGTGCCACGGCTTGCCACCCATCTCGGCATGTGGGATCGGCGTCGAGGGAAGGGGGCAGGGTCGGTCCCCGTGGGGTCGTACCTCGGAGGCCCGTAGGAGAAGGGCTCGGGCCACAGAGCAATTACGGATATGACCTTGGAGGCTTCGGGTGGTCCTGGATTTCGCAGGGGAATAGGCTTGGGCAACCAACCGTAGGGCTAGTAGAGCGAGATCCTGAACTTCCGAGGAGGGCCGAACGCGGGCCCAGAGTTTATAGATGAACGTGTAGGGGTATCCGAGGTGGATGTAGACCAGGATGTCAATACTAATCATGTGTAGGAGTAGAGCTGGATGTGTAGAAAGACTGCGCCAACGAGAGAGTCTACCCCGAAGTTCGGCCCGATGTCGAAGGGAAATGTGTCGACTATTGTGGTACGTGTACGGGGGGATTGACGACTTCTCGATGCACTGGGGGTCCCCTGCCCAGGCAAACTTCATGTTTTTGTGTTTGGGGCTCAAGAGGGACTCCTGGACATTGAAATGGACCCTGGCATCCAAGATTGTTTGGGCGACAGTCTCGAACGTCACGACATCGAACTTCTCGTCAACCTTAAAAACCACGATGTTTTTGTAGACGCAGACGGTGACAGTACGAGCGCAATCTCGGCGAGGGGTTCGAACGGCCTGGTGGCGGAAGCGCGAAGGGTTGGCGGTATCATACAGGGTTAAATCTGAAAAGACTACACGCACACACACACACACACATTCACGCGATTCGTAGCCCCATACGGAGTTCCACCGAAAGCCCCAGTGGCAGGATCCGCATGGCGCCGCCGCTCCATTTCGGCACACCTCTCACACGGTTCGTGGCCCTATAGGAAACCCAACCGAAGGCCCCAGTGGCAGGGTCCGCATGGCGCCGCCGCCCCATTTCGGCACACCTCTCACACGGTTCGTGGCATTGGGAGCTCCACCGAAGGCCCCAGTGGCAGGGTCCGCGCGGCACCGCCGCGTAATTTCCGCACCCCTTTCACACGTTTCGTGGCCCCAAAGGAGCCCCAGGTCCGCATGACACCGCCGCCCCAATTCGGCACCCTTCACACGGTTCGTGGCCCCATAGGGAGCTCAAGCGAAAGCTCCAGTGGCAGGGTCCGCGCGGCGCCGCCGCCCCATTTCGGCACACCCTCGCAGTTCGTGGCCTCATAAGAAGCCCCACCGAAGGCCCGATTGGCAGGGTCCGCATGGCGCCGCCGCCCCATGTCGGCACACCCCTCGCACTGCTCGTGACCCAAGATGGAGCCTTACCTAAGGCCCGGGTGGCAGGGTCCGCATGGCGCCGCCGCCCCATTTCGGGACATCTCTCACGCGATTCGTGGCCCCGTAGGGAGCCCCACCGAAGGCGCCAGTGGCAGGGTCCGCATGGCGCCGCCGCCCCATTTCGGCACACCCCTCACACGGTTCGTGGCCCCATAGAGAACCCCACCGAAAGCCCCGGTGGCAGGGTCCGCGCGGCGCCGCCGCGTAATTTCCGCACCCCTTCACACGATTCGTGGCCTTATAGGGAGCCCCACCGAAGACCCCAGTGGCAGGGTCCGCATGGCGCCGCCGCTCCATGTCGGCACACCTCTCACACGGTTCGTGGCATGGGGAGCACCACCGAAGGCCCGATTGGCAGGGTCCGCATGGCGCCGCCGCCCCATTTCGGCACCCTTGGCTCAAGCCTCCAGACGCGCCTCAAGCTTGTGCACTCACCTTTACATCCTGCTTTCACTTTTTCTGAACACGCATCTTGCGTCCATATCTTATTTCCCTCTTCTCGACCGCGCAGGCAGAAACCATGGAACAAGGTACGACGTCCCCGACTACGTCAAGGCAGACCCGCAGGGCTGGCACCCCGGTCAAGGACGTTTTGCAGCCATCGGGGCGAGCAAAGCAACACCGGATCCACAGCCCGTTGCACGAGATGGACGGCCTCTCCGACGAGGCCGACAGAGGGTCTGCATCCGCACGCCAGAGCCACTTCCAGGCCAAATCAGAGCAAGTACAATTTCAACGCCGGCTCGCCGAAGCAGCAGGTCAACCTCTGACGGCGGAGAATCTGCAGCTGAAATTGGCCAACCCACTGGCACTTATCAAGCAGGACATCCAGCCGTCACAAAGCATGGTGTCTCCCAGGACGACCTGAACGGGAGAGTTGAACCTCTCCAGGCTGCCGTCGACACCCTCACAGGGCGCGCGGCGGCATTGGAAACGGAAGATCCCACATCCAGACCGTCATCAGTGGCAAGCCGAAAAGCACCTGGCATGACTTCAACGTTTGGTGCGAAATTGCAGGAATTGGAACGTGAAGTTGCTATTCTGCGGTCGACC